GAATGCGCGATTATCGTTTGGAGGAGCTGGCGCGCGAGGGGTCGGCGAAGTTGCAGCCGGAACCTTGCGACCTGAAACTGACCCCGGCAGCGTTAGACTTGCTTCAGGAAGCCTCCGAGTTGCATTTGGTACAGATGATGGCACAAGGCCAGCTGTTATGCATTCATCGAGAGGCCAAGACCCTTGAGTTGCGAGATCTCCAGATCTTGAAGAAAATTCAAGATGTAAAGCCCGGACAGGTTTGCAGTCCTCAGCTCTCCAAAGAGCCTTCGGCTTGCAGTTCCGCGAAAGGTCCTAAACGGCCCGCAGAGTCTTCGTGCGCACGTTTCAAGAAGGTGCGCACCTTAAACTGACACGATGTTGGAGGCAGTAGACTCCGAGATCGGAATGCTCTGGGCTTTCGGCATTCGACCTTCTCGTGAGCGTGACCGGACAAGCGGCAAAGAATTGTGTTTTGGAACCAGCTTAAGCTCAGCTTCAGCTGAAGAGTTGACCAGTTCGTCTGTAATCGTATTGCCCGTGCCTGGTAGCACTGCCCGCCTCGGGCACTGGACAGGTCTATGACGACTTCTACGTCTTTGATGCCTCTGTGGTTTAAGGTTCCGAAATGTGTAGGAGTAGGGGTAGAAGCATGCAGCCTGCTTTAAGGGTGACAGAAATTTTTGACAATACTGAGCATGATTATTCGTCTGATCATTTTCTGAGAGACAGGACTTTTGACAATACTTAGCATGCTTATCTCAGTTCGAAGGACTCTTTCGGGCTACGTGCGTCAGATGACGGTTGAAGAGTTGAAGGGCTCTTTCGGGTCAACTTCGTCAGATTGCTCGTCAGTGAGGGGGATCTTGGTCAATACTTAGCATTAGTATCTTGGGTTGAAAGGCGTTGCGGGCTAACTGCTTCTTCCATGTAGTAGTAGTAGTAGTAGTAGTAGTAGGAGGAGGAGTAGTAGTAGTAGTGGTAGTAGTGGTAGTAGTGGTAGTAGTGGTAGTAGTACAAGTAGTACTAGTAGTACTGGTAGTACTAGTAGTACTAGTAGTACTAGTAGTACTAGTAGTACTAATAGTGCTTGTAGTACTAGTAGTGCTAGCAATACTAGTAGTACTAGTAGTACTAGTCGTACTAGTAGTACCAGTAGTAGTAGTAGTAGTAGTAGTAGTAGTAGTAGTAGTAGTAGTAGTAGTAGTAGTAGTAGCAGCAGTAGTAGTAGTAGTAGTAGTAGTAGTAGTAGTAGTAGTAGTAGTAGTAGTAGTAATCGTAGTACTAGCAGTAGTTGCAGGAAGTAGCAGTAGCAGTAACAGTAGCAGTAGCAGTAGCAGTAGCAGTAGTAGTAGTGTAGTAGTAGTAGCAGTAGTAGTAGTAGTAGTAGTAGTAGTAGTAGCAGTTGTTGTTGTTGTTGTTGTTGTTGTTGCTGTTGTTGTTGGTGTTGGTGTTGCTGTTGCTGTTGCTGTTGTTGCGGTTGTTGCTGTTGTTGTTGTTCCAAGCCCGCCCGTGCTGGCTGCCGAAGTGGTGAAATTTCAACCTCCGCCCGTCGCCACACACCCCAACACTCACCAAAGAGTTTTCCGAACCCGCCGAAAATCATTGATGAGATTTCTAGGCAAAGGCCACTTTTCCACACGCCCCCACAGTCACCAATGAATTTCCCGGTCCGTCAAAAAATCATTGAAGAGATTTGCAAGCGAGGGACAAGCCACGCCCCACGCCCGTGCTGGCTGCCGAATCCGTCATTTTTTCGCTTCTTGTTGTTACCCATGCATACCAACACTTGCCAATGATTTTTCCCGACCTGCCAAAAATCATTGAGGCAGTTTCAGTAAACCTGGGATTTGCCTGGCCGGTTTTTCTGAGATTCTTTGTTGCGTTCCGTTCCGTTCTCGTTCGCGTTCCGTTCTCGGGGTTGCGCGAGCACCGCCGCGCCCTGTGAACCCTAAAGCCTGAGACGCAGGTTCGGATGTTGCTGGACCAGCTCGAAGACGTAAGGCGCTTTACGCACGAGCTGGGCCCCTCCGTGCGAGAGCTTCAGGCGAAGATACCGGTATAGGGGCCTTAATATTTAGAATAGGGTTTGGGGTACATTATATTATAACTGTAACCATAATAAGGAACCCCAAAACCCTGTTCGAAATATTAAGGCCCCTACATTCGGCGGTTTAGGGTTTAGGGTTCAGGGGTTTAAGGTCTTAGGGGTTTAGGGGTTCAGGGTTTGGGGTTTAGGGGTTTAGGGGTTTAGGGTCTGGCGGTTTAGGGTTGGGGGTTCGGGTTTCACAGAGCTGGAGTCTGAATGCGTTTGGCCAACCCCGCAATAATTGTAATGATTTTTGGAAGGCTTGCAAAAATCATTTGGTCTTGTTTCAAAGGAAGGGCTTTGGGGCAATACGCCCAACCGGGCAGGTCTACGACGACTTCTATGTCTTCGATGTCTTAGGGTTCTGTGCAGGAGGACAGGACCCAAATCTTCCAAAAGGGGCAGGACCCAAACCCCTTGACGACGACGCCAAAAGAGGACAGGACCCTCATCCTCTGCGGGGCAGGACCCGACCCCAATGGCGACGAAGAGACCTCAGTTGGGAAGGACAGGACCCAAATCCTTCCAAGGGGCAGGACCCAAACCCCGGACGACGACTTGTTAAAAGGGGGCAGGACCCAAACCCCCGACGACGATTTGACGACGAGACCACATGCTCTCGTGCCGAGTGCTGTAGCATGTCAACCCTAAAAGTCTCGTTGAGTAGAGCAAACCCACCAGCTGTTTAAAGTCTTTCCAAAACCGCCCTGAACTTGAACTTCTCAAACAGTGGCAACTTCGTAGGGCGCAGCCAGGCTGAATGAGTTTTCCAAAGCTTGCAAAAATCATCGAACCCATTCTTGCAAAAATCATCGAACCGATGTCTCGTCCAAAGCAGCATAAGCAGCGATTTGGCACTGAAAACCCAAATCGCGCGTTTGGCGTTTCCAACCATTGATAAAGAGCGAATAAGAAGCGATTTGGACTTGCGATTTCAAATCGCTGCGTTTTGATTTGGCGATTTAATCTACTAAGGTACGGGTGGCTGTCAAAATTAGGGTCCCCTTTTGGGTACCCTAAATAATCGGTGCCGTACTATACTAAGGACCCAAAAAGGGACCCTAATTTTGACAACCACCCATGTGTAATCTCTCGCATACACTCGTCACACAACCTGACAAGCAGTCTCTGGAAGTACGCTTGGAAGCACAAACCCTACGGAATAGTTGAGTGTGATACTGCGATGATAGGGTCTAACCGTGTGGCCTTCACAAACTTTTGGATCTCCACCAAAGTTTGTGGCTTCAACCGTTGGCCCTCATGTAATAATTATTGGATCCCCAGTAGAGTTTGTGGCTCCAGGGTTCCGATGTCCAACGTTTTTGGCCTGCAGTGTAGATCTTATGTAAAATGTAAGTTGCCATAATAGGAATTATGGTTTAGGGGTTAGGGTTTAGGGTTTAGTGTACAGTAAAAAAATGGGTTTTCCTGATTACAATGCTCACTCTGAGACTCCAAACAGCTCACGCAGAGTAGGTAAGTATATGTACCCAAAGCAGATGCGATTGTTGTATTCGGAGTCCCCTGAACCCTAAACCCTAAACCTCAAACCCTAAACCCCTAAGCCTAAACCCCTAAACCCTAAACCCTAGACAGGGTAGCAAGAACCCTCGGGTTTATATATATATATATATATATATATAGGGGGGTTGGGTTGTTTCAGCGTTTGGGTTTTGGAAGCAGGGTTCGGGGGGATCATCGGCTCATCAGTGGGGTCCCTTAAGGACGAAAAGGACCCTAAAAGGGTTTAAGGTTCCTATGCCTTATGGGGCTTCATAGTCTATCAGTATAGGGCGGTATAGGGCCCCTACTTTCTAAGGGTCGCTTGGTCCCCAAGATCTTCAAACCAAGCAACGGCAACCCCGCATGAAACGGCCATAGAGGCCTTTTCCAAGGATTGAAAATTCAATAGACCATATTCAGACACCCTTCTGGCAATCCCCATGGGAAAGCTATTCTGGTTTAGGGTTTAGGGTTTGCTTTAGGGTTTAGGGTTTAGGGTTTGGTTTAGGGTTTGGAGCTCATCCAGCCAGGTTTCGGAACTTGGTGAGCAGGTTGCTCTGGGATTGATAACTACCTAGTAGTAGAGTAGGTAACCTTTAACCCCTTTTGGGGTAGTGTAGACCCTCTACAACCTCTTTAACCAAGAAGGTTAACCTTGAGTTCCCAATGATACCCGACAAGTATGATTATAATTTGCTCTTCATGCAATACGTAAGACGTAATCTCTAAGCCTTTCTGTATAAGAAAGCAAAGCAAGCAATGTTTCCGGGGACCTTAAATCCTTCAGCGTTTAGAAAACTCTAAGCCTTTTAGTATCATCACCCTAAACCCCAATCAAACTCTAAGCAAGCAATGTTTCCTGAGACCTTGAACCCTTACTCCTAATTTCCACGATCCCTTGCAAACCCTCTCAACACTTAGCCCTGAACCTCTGGGCCCCTAAACCGCCTAAACCCCGTATTCAACCCCAGCCCCTATACCCTAAGGCCTATACCCTGGCCTTTGAAGTCTCTGGGGAAAAGCCGTGCACAACCCTTTAACCTCCGGCAAAGCATTGCAACACCCGGTAAAACTAAACATCTTGTTCTAAAGGCTCCATGTACACAAGTAGCAAATTCAAAGACCGGAAACTACCTTCATTATGAACCCCACTGAGGCCAAAGTAATTGCATGCTTTATGGGTCCATCGAGCCTTCGGGTGCAGAATCATAATTACATAACTTTGCAAACCCCTATCAATGCCTCTACAGCCCCGTAAAGCACCGCAGCCTCTGGAAGCCGTCGCCGCCGGAGAACAGGACTCGTAGGAGGCCAAATAGGGGTTTTAGCCTATGCGGGTTTAGTAGGGATTGGGGTTCCCATAATAGGGTTCATATTAAGGAATCCCTACCCCAAGAATCTTAACCCCCCCGTTTCGCCTCCCATCAAGGACTTCATCGCCAGTCTCACGAAGACTTTTCCCGAAGTGCTCGTCACTTGGAGTGAATGTAAGGGTGGGAAGGAACAGGGATTACTGTTATTCCTTACTTCTGGGTTCCTTCCTATTGTACATGTGTGTGTGTATGTATGTATGTATGTATGTATGTATGTATGTATGCATGCATGCATGCATGCATGCATGCATGTATGTATGTATGTATGTATGTATGTATGTATGTAAATATATATGCATGTACGAATACTACTATATGCACCGTGACAGCTCGTCACTTGGACTTAGAGAAAATGAGGCTTCCTTAGTAATTATGGTTTGCTTTCAGAGCATGGGTTGGGGTTCGGGGTCCATTTCCATATCCGCACGGTCAAGTTATCTTGATTTTTTCGAGTCCGTGTTTAGGCTGCATGCGCCCGCAGATGAGTACATGGAGACAGTACCCCTGAAGCCGTAAATTCCAGAACCCTGAAACTGAGCCTTTAAGCCTAAACTACCTCAACCCAACCCAACTTCCATTTTTGAGTGTCCAGTTAAGCCCTAACTAACCACCTCTTCAAACTGACAGGACCCGAATACCCGGTGGATGCGAAAGGGTTTCGGGTTCCTTGAATTGTTACTTCAAGGGTTGTTTTTCAGGGTTCTAACCCTAAGCTTTACGTTTAATTCCGTTTAATGGCTACTTTAAGGGTTCCCTTTGAGGGTTCTAATCCTACACTCCAAGCTTAAACTCTCAGCTTTAAGGCCTTAGCGCTTAAGGAGAGGTAGAACTCAGTAAGAGCTCTTTAAGGGTCCACTTGAGCGCTCGTACAGGAGTTCTTTCAGGGTCTAGGGACCGGGGGTGTGGGGTTAAACCTTAGATTTTTGCAGCTACGGGCCCCTACAGTGGAGAATCCGCAAGCTGTTCATGACAAGGACTTGGTGAGCCATCGCATGGGCGTGAAGGAGATCGAGGACTGTTAGGGTTTAGGGATCAGCGGGTTTCTGTAGCCAGCTTGTTCACGGACATGGGTGTTCACATTTGTCTTTACAGATTCCTCTAAGAATCTGGCTGGCCTTCCTTGTTCCTGTTGCCTAGTTACCTAAAGGATCATGGGACCCAGTAAATAGGGTTATATTATAAACACGGTAACTATACTTGTAGTTACTTATATAGCCACAATCAGGGGATTTTATAGCCTAACCCTGAATGATCTCTCATAGAACCCTGGAAGGATCCTTCTAAGGAGCCCTTACCGACTAAGTCAATGATCATCCAAGTAACCTGCGATACTGAACAAAAACCTAACCCTAAACCATCCAATTAATGTAGGTTTAGTGATTATTGTTAGGTTGCTATTTCGGTCCTCGAGGCTCAGGGGAGTAAGGAGGCTGTAAGGTGTTTTGTTTGTGTGTGTGTGTATTTGTCGGTTGGTCTTTGTGGTTTAGTGGCTACAGGGTTTTACGGTGTGGGGGATTTTACGGTTCGATGGTGTCAGGGTCGTTTAGAGGTTTACTGTTTTAGGGCTTCAGGGTCTCAGGGTTAACGGCGTGGGGTTGTAGATACAGCAATCGAGTTCATCCAGTTTTCATTCCGGTCAGAAGTAACCTGCTTGAAAATTCCCGTGCTTCTGCAACCCTCCACATCCCTTGCTAAACCGCCTCAACCCTAAACACCCAAGAGGGTCCATATACAGTACTATTATGGAATCAGGTCCCAAAAACCATAATGGGGATGGTCTTTTGGGACCTAATTCCATACTTGTAGTAGACCCTCTGGGCACTCAACCCAAAACCTGTAACCCTAGAGCCTTCTGCCCAAGAACTGGCCTTCGGGATCTTCATGCTTGTTGGGACTGGCTCGAAAACGGGGGTTATCAAAGTGTTAATGGGGTACAGGTTTGGGCTTAAAGGTTAGGACCGTTAGGAATGTCGGATTCCGGACACCCTAGACCCTAAGCCCATCTAGCAAAGCAGGCGATGAGCGGTTTAGGGTTGATGCATGGTTTGTCCTAAGGCTCTGAGGACTCATATAATGAGGCTTTTGGGCCCAAAAACCATACTATATAAGGTTTTTGTGCTGTTTTGAGCCTTAGGGTTAGGGCTGAACATCCACGCCTTCAACCAGGCCTTTGCAGTGTTCACGGGGTCTGTGTTAGTTTGTTGACGGGTACCGTATGTCCGTTTGGTATCAACCTTCCATCGCTGACTACAGCAGTCTCGCAGGTCTAGGCTGCTGAACATCTACGCACTTTGGGTAGTTGGGTCCCTTTTAGGGGTATTAGGCGCCGTATTATAATAAGGATCCAAAAAAAGGGACCCTAATATTGGCAACCATCCATTTGGCATGGTGCTTGTGTTAGGGACCAGCAATCTCACAGTGGTGTTCATTGCGGCCATCATAGGCCAAATCAATTTGTGAGTATGTCACCCCGAATCCGCCATTCTATTTCCATCTGCAGCTGTGTCCCTACGACAACATTGCCACCGCAAAGTATATGCTCAGCATGCAGATCAGGGAACGCTCTGGAAGATTCCCAAAGCCTTCGACCCGTCAGCTAAAACAACATGGTCGGCATCTAATTTTCACAGATTCTGTTACAAGTGTAGGTGGAACTGTCCCGCCGTCTCTTGTCGAGAACACTGGCCTAAAAGCTGAGTAGGTATCTTTGAACCTTTTGCGGTTCATAGACCCCTACCATACTTGAACAAGTTAACCTGTCTTGGGCTATGGTACTTACTAAATCCCTAATTCTTCTAAGTCTAAACTATGAATTTCATAGGTGTTGGAGTCTTTCGCAATGATATCTCCTGGCTATACTCGCCAGTGGAACTAGGCCCCCTAGCCATATTGTGGCAGGATACACTGGTGTGGATACCAAGTCTGGAAGCCATCAACGTTGATCGGCAGGTGCCGCGTACTTCGAGAAGCCAGATTCTGTAGCTAATCCCATGTGAGACTAGTTAGAATAAGGATGCCACCTTAGTACTTCCTGGTTTCTTTTTCTTACCAATCTTTTAAAGGCCTTCCCTCAACACACCTTCTCTGATGATGGCGTTGTGCTCATAAGTCGAACATCTAAGCTTGAGCTGGAAGTACGAACAAAGGAACCCTGCTCGTTGGGTCTCATTGAGGCTTTGCAATGGGGCTTACGGCTTTGGCATTCAAGTGTCTTGGGGCTAGGGGCTTTGGGAGTTGTGTGGTTTAGAGTTGGCTAGAAACCTACAGGCTCCGACTCCCTCTGATTAAGGGATATATTGTTTGAATCATCGTCTTGCCCATACATAATTGGACCCTAAGTTTTCCACCTTGTGGGGTTCCTTTCAATCAAGTCCTTACAAAGCGCAATGTGACGCTTTTAAGTAAGTGGAGGGCGGCAAGACCTCCAGGGGCACAGAGCTAGTATAAAAGTTGTGTAGGGTTTACGGTTCGTTTGGCGCTCAGAGTTTAGGGGTTAGGGTTCAAGGTTGAGGGTTTAGGGTTTAGGGTAACCCTGAACCCCAAAAGTCCAAGGTTCAGTTTTTGAAGTTTAGGGTTGGGGTGTTTAGTTCAACAGTTACAGGTTCGCCAGTCTAAACAGACTGTGTGGGCCAGGCTCGACTGCCGCGGAGGTAGTATGAACTAGTTACATATTTAGACTCGTCACTATAGGTTTTTCGGGGTTCAGGTAGTTTAGGGGCCGAAATAATTACCAATACTATTTTGGGGGTTAGGACTGCTTACACTGTCGTACGAAGCCCTCAACTATCAAAGCGGGCCCGGCTTTTCCTACCTGCACCTCCCTTCTTCAGCGGCCAGGGATTGGAGAGAACATCAGGTTTGGATAAACCTCAACTTGCAAAGATGTCTTTTCGGGTGCTGCGGCGCGTGGAGAGGCGTTCTTGGCGAGACGCTGCCTGAGAATTACCCCCACTCCAAGGAAGAGCTGAAGATTCAGCAGAGCAGGGAGATTGCCGAGGCTGTCTCACTCGGCTCCCTCGTCGGCATTTCAGCGAGCGACGACGGGTTGAGCAGATTTTGGGACGAGTGGCAACGGCACAGACCTATCGGATATGGACTGGAGCGTGGCGGAGCTGGGCGCACTTGATGCGTATTAATTACTGCTCTTGATCCGCTCAGAACCGTAGCCTGTCTTCGCAGTGACTGCCAAGGCCTGGTCAACTCGACCTGTGTTATTGGCTACGCCCAGACCGGCTACGGCATTGCTCAGACGGGCTCGCTGCGCACGTCGCAGCAAGACGGCGCCGCCTGGCGAACAGACAACACCCTCCGCGCACAATTTGAGCCCCAGTTCCCATGCAATTGCTCCTAATATGGCCACCCTAGACCCTAAACCTTCTAAACCCTAAACCCTAAAGCCCTTATAGTACCCTCAAAAAGTAGCCCTTTAGAGTCAGGATCCCTCAGAATCTCCAATTTCTGGAGACCCTAAGTACTAAGGGTCCATGTACCCGAATAGGGGTTCCTTTAAGGGTTCCTTGAAGGGTTACTATACGGGTTCTATGAGGGTTCTATAGGGGTTTAGGGTTTAAGGGCCCATGTACCCAAATAGTGTATACCTTGGACCCAATGTACCTATATAGAGACTACACTTTAAGGCCAAAGCTATATACTCCGGTTGATGAGATAATTCCTGCATTACCTTAAGGTCGCTAAACTATGGGAATTCTGGTATATTCCTTATTATGGGTAATGCAGGATTTATATCATCAACCCTTAGGCCCCAAACCCCTATAGAACCCTTACAGAGCCCTTATAGTACCCTTATAGTAACCCTTAGAGGAACCATTAAAGGAACCCCTATTTAGGTACATGGACCCTTAGGGAGAAGGGAACGTCCTTAGCCAGGAGGTCCCAGGAGTCTCCGAGCAAAAGATACCCAGAAATCTTGGGAAGGGTTTAGGGGTTTAGGGGTTTAGGGATTTTGGGGTTTAGGGATTTAGGTTTAGGGGTTTAGGGGTTTAGGGATTTAGTGATTTAGGGGTTTAGGGATTTAGGGGTTTAGGGGTTTAGGGATTTAGGTTTAGAGGTTTAGGGGTTTAGGGATTTAGTGATTTAGGGGTTTAGGGGTTTAGGGGTTTAGGGTTTAGGGGTTTAGGGTTTAGGGGTTTAGGGGTTTAGGGTTTAGGGGTTCTCCTGCCAATTCCCTCACCCTGAGAATCAAAATAGACCAAAAACCTCACGCATGATGGTCTTTGGGCCCAAAAGCCTTAATATATGAGTCCTTAGAGCTCTCGGGTCACAATTTCTACGGAAGAGTGGAGTGAAGGGGTTATATGCGTTCAGGATTGGAAAGCGTTTAGGGTTGGGGGCTTTATGGCCTGAGATTGCAAGTCCCCCGATCAGCTAATGACTGCATGATTTATTAGTGTGATGACTACGACGATTCCCCAAAGGGGTCTCGGTCCAAGTACACAATAATATCGGACTTTTGGGGGCTGACAGGTGCCAAAAACTAAAGGAAAGTTAAGGATTTCTTGGAGGCTTAGGGATTCGTCTTAGCAGTAGTTGTTGCCCTAAGGCTCAAAATAGCGCAAAAGCCTTATATAGTATGTTCTTTCGGCCCAAAAGCCATAATTTGTGAGTCCTTAGAGCCTTACCCTATCCCTCCAAGGACCTCATACTTAGGGCCCTAGACCCCTTAAGGACCCCATAATAAGGTCCCTGGAGGCATAGGGTTAGGGTTCTTGATACATCCCATACCCTGAGACGTGTCGTGGCTTTCTGTTACAGGTTAGCCCGGCCTCTGTCGCCGAGGTTGGAAAAGAAGACCGGGGTTGAGGGTTTAGGGTTTAGGGTTCAGGGTTTAGGGTTTAGGGTTCAGGGCCCTTGGGCTTTGCCCAGGATCTAAGCGAGCTGAGGGTTTGGGGCTAAAGGCTTCAGAGTGTTCAGCTTGAAGATTTAAGAATTCGAGGGTTTCGGGGTTTAGGGTTTATAGACGATTTACTTAAACGCTTCCTTCAAAGGATCTTATGAGGGATCCTTTAAAGGGCTCTACAAGGCGACTATAAGGGTACTATAGGGGTTTAGGATGTAGAGGGTTTAGGGTTTAGGGTGGTTTAGGGTTCAGGATTTAGGGCTCCTGGTTCAGGGGATTTAGAGTTGAAGTTTCGGATTTTATATAAGTTTTAGAGTTTTGCGGGTTTAGGGCTTAGGGTTCAGGGTTTAGGAGGGTTCAAGAGTTTAGGGTTTATACAGGTACTGCTTCATGGCTTGGAAACTACAATGGAGACTATTCGTCAGCGTTTTATGATGCTAGTTGTGGGTGCTATGGGCTTGTTTTCCCGCTTCGCTTTGGCATCGTGTGGGTCAGCGGTTTGGGTTGCAGTTTCCCATGCGAGGGCCCTAAACCCTGAAAGCCTTAACCCTTACCCGAAACCCGATCCGTGACACTAGCAGGCTGTTATATAGATCCCAGTTTACACCCTTGCGACACCTTAAACCCTAAATCCCTGAAGCCTATATATGCCCTAAGTCCCCAAAGTAGTTCCGGAGAGCGAGTACATGAAGGGTGACTTGGACAAAGTCATTGAAACCTTCGAAGATTTGTTGCGAGATTTGTTGCAAGCAACCCCTCGCCCAACGGAGAAACTGCTCGCAGATGCCATGAAGTTGGTGTTTAAGCATGCAGGAAACTCCGAGATGAAAAGTTTTGCTCTTCAGCATGTGCGGTGTGTTTCTCATGTCAGGGCCAAGAGGAGCACGAGTACAGGCAAGAAGACTCCAGATGCAACGTACCGGCTCTTGCAGATCGTGCAGGCTAACATGAGAATCCCGAGATGCCCCAGAAGACACCCATCAGACGAACCTCTACCCAGTCGAACGTGAGTGTCACTTCCCCGGCTTCTTCTGCAGCTACACCCGGGGATCATATTGAGAATCCTGTAAGGTAATCCCCAAAAGAGACTACTTTGGGGCCTATGGGTGAACCCTACAGCACTCCTCTAATAGAAACCCCTATCCTAGTATTAGTAGAGTAGGCAACTTTTAACCTTTTTTGGGTAGTATAGTCCCTATATACAATCCCTATATAACCAAAAAACGTTAACCTTTAGTTCCCTATGATACCCGACAAGTAGGCTATAGAACCGCAGAGAAACCCCCAGGATATCCACTAGAACCCTGCCCGAGCAGGGCAGGTCAAAACCAAAATCTTGAACCCTTAGCTTGCTTAGCCGACGGGAGAACTTGCAAATTGTTGGCCTTATCTATCTGTCTAGTCCATCTTGTAAAGTTGGAGGGTTTTAGGCTTCGCTATTGAAGTTACAGAGCCGTTCTAAAGAGCCCGTATGGAATCCTAGGCCAAGGCCCAAAACCATCCTGAACAACACTCATCAGACCCCAAACGTTTCCCTGAGAAGAGTACTCCGTAGGGTTCATAACTTTACCATGCAAGGCCCATTGCGGCCCTTGCACATGCCACAGGTTGTGTCGCATCTAGCGGGAGATCATCACCGCCGGCTGGTCTCAAAGCGCGTGGCCTGACCCTCAGAACTTCAACGACGATGTGAAGTCTCACCTAACGGTACCCTCTTCTTCCTGTCACTTCTTGATCTCCTTCTTAAGCCCCAAACAGTCTAGTACCGTCACCATGAAGGGGTTGCATTGCTGCGGAACATAATCTAAAATCCTTACTATGGAATCCTTCTTATAAGCCCATAATGAACCCGTAAAACCAGTCTAGAGAAACGCTATGAAGCTGTTATAAACCGCTTCATGGGTTGCTGGGGAACCTGTTCCTTGGACGAAGTGAAGAGTTCAGGGTGTAACGGTTTACCCTAAGGCTTCTTAGCAGGTCTTCGGCTTTCTGGGGGGGGGGGTTCGGCTTTGGGGGGTGGGGTTCGGGATCTCACTACAAGGGTCCAGGAGCCTTAGGGTAGGGTCAACTTGCATGTATAACCCTAGGGGTCCAGTTGCTCAAAGAAGAGTAGGCACCAGGTACCGGAACCATTCAGACATTAACCCGAACTCTATGCCTCCAGGGACCTTATTATGGGGTCCTTAAAGGGTCTAGGGCCCTAACTATGAGGTCCTTGGAGGGATAGGGAGACTCCAATACCCCTTAATTAAGGAATATACCTAACATTATATATAGTAGGGTCCCTAATATATATAATGCCCTTAACCCGAACTCCTACAAATCAACTCGGCTGAATTGAAGACAGCCCAAGCTTGACTCCGGGACCTGCAGGAGGCCCCTGACTCCTAGCAGCTACCTCCTGCTGAGGAAGGTTCCCCTAATCTGACACCCTAAGGGTCCAAGTAGTTCCTATTTATGGTTTTTGGTACCTAAAAAGGCCCCAAAGTCCTATAACCCAGAGGGTCCAAGTACTCTCTATTATAGGACTTTAGGGCCTTTTTTGGGCACCAAAAACCATAAATAGGAACTACTTGGACCCTTAGGGTAACAAACTGCTACTTGGACAAACTTAGACTTCAAGAATGCTGCATGTTGAGTTGGATTGTCTGTGTGTGTGTGTGTGTCTGTGTCATGTGGTTTGCGCTGCGCAGTCAAAAAGGCGGTGCGCAAGGGCCTTGAGCAAATGACCTGGCGTCTCCATGCTGGCACGAAGTCGAATTCCGAGAATCACGTCTTCCTCGTCCCAGCTTCCGCGGCGGCGGCCACGAGAGAAAAAGCCGTTCTTTGCCATGCCCCCGATGGTATGGAGCTGCGGTTTGTTGGGCCGGTGTCAGGATTGGTCTTGGAACTCCGAAAGGTCCTTGTCTGGGTGTTATGGCCGAAGGTGACCACGGGCGCAATGGCCGTGGCGATGGCGTACTATAGGGGCCTAACTGCTTACCTATACTATTTAGGGGGGTCCTTACTATTATGGTAGAAGGGGCTCCAAAACCCTATTCTAATTATTAAGGCCCCTAGCGTATTTCAGCACCAGTGAGGGCCAGGGCATGCCGGGTCTTGCATGACATTTTCTTGGTCGGATCGCTTGGACTAAGTCGCTATCTTAGCAAAAAAGGTGAGGAAGCTTTCAAATGCTTACCCTAAAGCTCCTAAAAGGGTCTTGGAGAGGGTTTGAGGGGTAGGGTTTGGCACCTCACTACAGGGGTCCAGGAGCCTTAGGGTAGGCATTTCGACCGCCGTATCAGATATGATCGTGTTGCCGTTTCCTCCGTTGATAACTGCCTGCTTTCTAGTTGCGAACCCCTACAATCATGGAAGACATCCTGTAACAACACGCTGAACACTACACCCTAACCCCCCCGCCGCTTGCTGAGCCCTGAGCCAGGCTTTACCGGAATGCCTGATCCTCGCAGACTTGGATACCATGGCCTCTTGGCTGTCTCAGTAGCTCC